CCCCAAAACCCCAAAACCCCAAAACCCCAAAACCCCATTTCATTTGGAAAAATTGGCTAGAATCTTTATCTGCTAGGGAAACAAGAATATTTATATATCTTCTTCACTTGGTACCTTATAATCCTCTTCTTCCTTCATCTTATTTTCAGGAGATTTTGTTTTAAAGTAGACATATACTGAAAATTGCTCTTGACCTGTAGATCTCATTGGCATCTTGAATAAAAGCTTGACGTTTCTATATTCGAATTTATCAAAATTATGTTCAATACTACTTGTGCAAAACTTACTTGACTATTCTGTATGTTGTCTTCTCATTTACATACCAAGAGAGGATCTTGAAATTAGTGTTATTGAGAGACCTTCCAATCCCTGCTAATCAATCCTTGCCCATGACTTTATTGTAGGAGTAAACATGGGTAATATCTTCCCTTCTTCCCAGTTTATTCAGAACAATTTTGTCAACTTTGCCTGCATCTACCTGCTCAAAAACTCATTTTGTTCACCACAGAACTGAATAATTAGGTGCCAGTACAAGATCTGACGAGGATACTTCCTTTGAATCTTGAGCTATTTTCTCTTTGAGCTCCTCTCTGGTCAAGGATTTACCTCCAGCTTTCTCCTGAAACAGCAAAATTAAATCATAAAAGTGCAAAAATACCGCTTTTTCTCCAAAAATTTAAAGAATGGGAGAATTTATTTGAGAGATTACTTCAAAGACTTACTTTTGATAATTTCTTAAGACACTCTTCTTCTTCTGATTCTATAATACAGTTATTCTGTATCCAAAGAAGACTAGTCGATACTAATTTGAGTAATTCTTACCATCATCAATATCTTGTGGAGGTTTCACTTCTTTAAAATTAATGTCTGCATAATCATTAGCAATCGGATTTCACACGTTCTTGAACTCTGCAATCTTCTTTCTCGGACTCTTTGAAGGCATGACCCATCTAGAGACTTCCTCGTTACCTTCATTCTGAAGTTTCTGGAGAGCGATGTTTATTTTATTTCTTTCTCTCTTCCTCATACTCATAAATGAAATCTAGTCAGAAGGTAACTCTGGCTGGGACTATCTCAATACCTTTGCTGTAGCATCCCACTTGCATGGCTGCATGGAAGACTGGCTTCCCAAACCCACTCCCTATATCGATGAAGGTATCATTGCTAGTCAGTTTGTATTGTTCCTTTGGGAATGCCATCACTTCTTCATGCTCTGGCTTGAAATATTTATCAATATTCTGAAGAATTTGTAAGAACTTTTGCATTGCGCCTTTAGTGATCTCTCCGTATCCTATCTGGGCTGTTGAATCTTTCTGCCAATCATATTCCTGCTTCATTGCCTCAGATGTGCCTTTGGATGATCTCTTGCTTCTCATAGTATCATCCTCATTCTCTTCTGACTTTGCATGGCTCTTTATTGATCTACGCTTTGGTTTGACTAGCTCATTGTCATGGCTCCATAGAAGTGAAGAAGCCCTGTTTATCTTCTTATATACATAAGAGATCTCGTCTAAGTACTCCTTGACCGATGGATCGACTGGGTTTGCCTTTTTCTTGCCTAGATTGGGATTCCCAGTCTTCTTCCTCTTCCTTCCTTTTCCTGCTTGCCCGTTCATTTTAATCAAATTATTCCAATTTGCTGTTTTTTTGTGGGGTTTTGGGGTTTTGGGGTTTTGGGGTTTTGGGG